TTTACATTGGATGGCAGGTGTTTTGTTTCTCGCGGGAATAAAAATATGTTTGATGTAGTTCTGACGAGGGAATAGTGCATCCCGCTGCTTAAATATGTACATAAATATGACTGTTTCCATTTCGGGGAAAAATTGAGAGATTTTTTAATGTTATATGACATATACAGCACGAAAAACTATATCATTCATTTCCCTCGGTCTGTTTGTCTGTTTGTCCGCTAAAGTACGTAGTCGACGCTACTTGATATCAGTTTTTTCTTAAGCATTCACCGTTTCTAAAACTATTATTCCAATTTTGGTGAATGTGCCGCGTAAAAGCAAAGAATACAAAATTACCAGGGGTACTCGCGAAAAATCTCTTGAGCTTCTGACTTCTAAACATGCCGACATAATACTTTGTCTTAGGTGCCCGACTTGAAGAGCTCCCACACTGTTTTATTGCTTTATAAACGGTAGTGCTGTTGTACTTTGGCGCACAACAATACTTAAAATTAAATGTTATTAAATCATGCTATTTTGTTAGTCGCTGATTAAAATTGATTTTATAAATAAAAAATTACTGTAGTTATTTTTGGTAAAACAGAAAAGAAAAAGTTTTTCATCAATTTGCTAAAGTTAGGTCTAGAATTGTTGATACCAGTTCAACTCCCATAGCATGTAAGCGTTGCAATCTACCCTTTTCTTTACTGCCCACTTCTATTAATGCACAGGTTCTCCAACTTGTTCAACTGTACTTACCAATTCTCGTGAAATGTCAGCGAGAAGTAACAGGCGAAATTAAAAAAGTCTAATTAAAGAACTTTAGCGAGAGCGGACTATCAACAACCGCCAACTTGACTGTAGTCAACAAATTACAGAGTTTAAAACTTCGGAAGTTTTCACGGAATGGACGCGGCAATCCCCTGACTGCAACTACAACATAAAGTAAAAGGAGCTATGCTCGTTATACGGCGCATTTCGGAACGGGAGAATTGCGAAAGTGTGAAGTTCTAATAACGTGTCTATACTCAAGAGTGCTATGTATTTTCTTATTTCTACGTGGGAATTTCTACTACGGATATCTTGAATCTGCTTCAGTTGATGTTTGCTTCATCGTATCCACATACAACAGTAAATGAAACTGAAAAAAGAAAGGAAGGAACATTTTCAAGGACAATCAGCGGTTAGTCATTACAGATGCACTTGAACAAGTTACATTCCTAACAATTTGTAAAAAAATATTTTCTCATTCGACAAATAAGCGGGAAAAACAATCATGTCACATCAAAAATATATCACCAACGCTAGGGAGTACCACATGGATCTATGCTTGGACCCCTACCTGTAGATAGCTGGGACGTTGGTGACATTCCAAGTAGTTCTGCAGATTGCCGGATGTTTGATCTCAGGTCCAGTATTTTTTTCAGAATCACGTTCCTTAACTCAAACAACCTATCACTGATGTTTAATTAAACCTATCCGATCAAAGAGCCGTATAAAAGTTACATAGGAAGAAGAGGACCCATCGATTGGCCAGCGAGGTCTACCGATCTGACGCCTCTTGACTTCTTTCTCTGAAGCCGTGTAAAAGGAGAGGTTCACCAGGAGAAACCCACAACACCCGAGAAAGGTAACATATTCGAACAATTTATTAACGATTGATTGCTTCAGGCTGAGTTTATTTCTGTTTCGTTAATAAAAGCTATATCTATAACTATTATGTAAGGTAGTTGACTTCCATAGTTACCTAAATTGCGACAATACACACCACGAGCTAAGCTCCCCCAAAGCTGCACAGAAACATTTCCTCAGAAAATCGACCGCTCGATACATTTCGTAGCAGGCCACTCGGTAGGAATTGTCAAACTGACCGCTCTTCGACTGTTTCAAGGAATGCTGGATTAAAGCGTGGCTTACAGACTTGGAGAAGTCAATTCACTCACGGAATTCTGCTTGCTTGTTGCATAGATATAGCGAACGAATTTTTCGCACGAAAAATTTGCAAGTTTACGGTTTTTCACCTAATGATAGGATGCACATCAAGATAAATATGGAATCATTTTCAGCGAAGCAAATGCTAATGATTAAATAAGCATTTCTGGTGACCATGTTATTACGTTCCAAAGGTAGCGCCAAGTAGATTTACCCTATATTTTCAACGTCTTGACGATCAGGAGTCAAAACGTCAAAAATGAATTTTCAGCGATTCTTCGTTTTTGCTCAGAGCTCCGCCTCTAGTCGACGAATTATAAAAATCATCAAAACTGTTTGTCCTCGCCAAAAGGTCTAGAATGGGTCACTTAGGTATGCTTAAAATACCTTTTTCGGTCGCTAAAACGGAATTTGAAGTTTAATCGGTGCAAATCGAAAGCGTAGATGCCTTGTTGGTGGAACGACCGACATAGGAAGAGAAAGATTCAACTTCTGAGTGATCCTCATGCTTGTTATTCCGTAGACTTTGGATCAATGTATCGATTCCTAGGATAGGAATAGGATACAAGCAGTCATTACACACTGTATCATTATTTCCCCGGTACTCTTCATTTATTTATGAGCCCTTGCAGGCCACCAGAACTCGGCCGGTTTAATTTTTTACGCATCAGTTCAAAAATAACAATAGTTGGTATTATCGAGGAATGCGCTATCGAAATGCAAAGATCACCATGAAAAATTTGTTTCCTGAAACATATTGACGCGTTATTCCAAAATTCTTTCATCATAATGAGATTATTCTATTATGGTCCAAATCCAAATATAGCGTCTTCATTTTAAGAGTTTATGATCATGTACTAAAACATCCTTAAAAGCTCTACTTCTTCTTGAAATGAAAAATATTAGGGCTCCTGAATCTAAGGGGCTCTCTCACTTTAAAAATTACAACCTCGTTATTTCAAGATAGTGATTCTTAGTCCAAGATAACTTGTAGAGTGATGATCGTGGTTAAACCAGCGTCCCAAATCGCTTGAAGCTACGGAAAATCAAAATTATACATTGTGATCGTTTCTCGTATGTCGAGCTTACTCGTTATTCACGAGATTTGCAAGTTAGTTAAGGCGAAAGCAGAATAATTATATCTATTTACCCCTTATCCTTTGTTTTAAACATCGCCGACATCATTAAAGCAACGCCTTATCCGATTAGGTACTAAATAAACGAAGTTGGTCGTGCGTATCCATCAAGACTGGATCGGATTAAACGTAATCGTATCACAAAGTTCGGTTAACGCTCCACAAATGCTGAGAAGACTTTGATTGCTATTGACAGATGCTTTAATCAATTTACTGTATAATAAACGCCTTATGCCGTTAGCTTTAAGTTAACAAGGAAATTTAATCTATGACGTCACAATCTTATCAACCAGTTGGTTTGTCATATTAGTTGATTGATTTTCAGAAGAACCGTTGTTAGATCGTTTATCAGGGAACACAATACCAGAAATATATAAATCAGACTATCTGTGTCAAGGTACATGAAACGTAGATATGATAATGTTAGTAACTCGTATGATCTTTATGTCAAAAAGCTGTAGAAAATTGTTGTAGATGAAAAACGTCGCTAAATTTTTATCAAATACATATATTATCTAATATCTACCATTATGATTTTTATACGAGGGTTGATAAAAAAGATCCCTACAGTGCTCCAGCCACATTGGAAGGTGCGAGGTACGACGTGCCATACATCTGTCATCTGACGAGGAGTATTCACGTTTGGAGTTTCATTGCCGCGCAGAAAGCGAATTATGGAACGAATCTCGCACTTGCCGGGATCTGGATATGGAACCTCCATATCGGACGGCTGTTGAGCCAAGAATGAGTGACGCAACGAAGCCGCTGTACAAATCCAGGATGGGAGAACAGTACGAGTACTGGTACGCGTATATGAAAATAGTGCATCTATTCCTGAGAACTTGAAGGATCACGTATATGCTTCATGGTCTACGGTAAATCCTTCTCACTGACTGGTTTAATACGCCTGTAGATGTGTATGCATGCATTTCAATCCGTTTGACATAGTCGAAGGTCAGACGACGTCAATGCTAATGAACTAAACCATACATGATGCCGTTCCCGAGTTACGTTTCGACCTTTGGCACTCGACGGATCCCTGATGCTTCAATTAAGGATGGTACAGTGTTGCCGGGCTTAGTACAAGTCTATGAAAGGACACGATACACAAAAAGTACAACTCTTACCAAATATTCTGAGAGAATAAAAACTTTCAGAAGATGTAAAAACGCAATTTATTTTTCTGTAGATATAAGATCGGACATGTTTTAGAGGAAAAACCGTCTATTGACCAGTTTATGAGGTGAATATCAACGAATTTTCCATCGTAACCGTATTTGAAAACCCTATCGTTCGTACACAAAGCGAGCATAAAAAACCATGAACGATGTGCATCGACGTTCGAGCTTCATCGCTTTTTGATTAAAAATCGCTGACTTTGCCGCAATTCACAAGGTAAAAACGATGAGTTTCGTTTTGAGCTCCTGCTTCATGAATATGTCAAAGGGTCCACGGCAGGTCGATCATTTATCAACTTCCACTAGACGCATCTCTCAACGGAGGACTTAACAACTCACACACGGCGTTGCCAAGTTTCAGAAAATTATAGGTTACAGATTACGAAGAAGGGGGTTGGCTTGCCAGCCTATTGCGATTCAAGTAGATCTAAGGTGGCACCCCTATATACTTTCTAAAGCACTGTGTCCAGCCTTGATCCTTTGATCAGACTCCATAGCCTTTAGAAAGGGCCTAGCATGCATTCCAGTCCTCCTCTGGGTACATGAGCCTTCAGCGGGGTAATACACCTAGATGTACATGCAAACGGATATAACGGACGCTTCTAAAATCAAGTAGTGCGCATTGTGAACCTAATTAAAGTCTTGCTGTGCTAAGATGATCAATATCATATATATATATATATTATAATGAATGAATTGAGTCATGTTTATGAAGATGCTGTGCAATTGCCGGATACAGGTATGTTATTTACTGCTCTATTCATATGCGACGTACCTGGCATCCGTAGGCTTGTACGTGACGTCATACTTGTCAGCGCTGGTGACAGTTGACGTGGCCCACGACACTCGAACTGACGTCGGTGACAGAAATGTGATGGTGATGTTCTCGGGGATCCCCGGACCGCTCCTGTGCTGTTCGGTGCTCGCGTTGTCGTTTGCGCCGTTGCCAGCTCCTCGGGCGTGTCCAGCGTGGCCGTTGCTGCTTGCGCTGACGCTGATGCTTTCGCTCGTTGCGCTGTTGCCGTACCCATTGCTCGTCAGGCCACCGACAGGCATCGAACCTGAGAACAGAAGAAATCATGAGAGCAGAGAATTTCCCTCTGTTAGACAAGTTGTGTTCGATACTAACCTGCAAAACCGGTAGTAAATAGCAGTATCGCAGTGGCCAATAAGGACATTATTAGCTGCACGTGAAGGGCAATGTTGCCATTATCATGGCGGCGTTGGTCAACGCTGTCGCGATTTCACCGATGCCAGTCCATGATCCTGAGGTTAGAAGTCGAACAAACCCGATGAGGAGGCACACCTGACCTGAAAGAAAAACAGTTTGATCGTCAGCATATATGTCAAGGCCATATTATAAAATTGAGCATTCTATGAAATGATCGAGCATTTTATAAAATGGTCGCATTTCATGAAATGTATCTTTACTTATTGGCCAGACCATGATGTGCGCGAACCAGATCGATGAAAGCAAATTGCTTGACGATATGAAATCTTAGGATATTTACATAAATTACCGATAGAGGCGCTGGCTTTGTTTACATTTCAACACGGCAGTCGTTAATAACAAAGTTGTTTTTGAAGTGGAAATTCTAATAACTCTAAAGCAGTTCCTCGTAAACTGCTTTAGGCAAACACCATGTTGTATGTAGGTAGGTTTGGTTGCGAACTTTTGGGATTGTTTTGTTTTATTTGGTCGAAACTTTGCTTTGTTATGTCTAGATAGAATATTTGACAGTTTGGTTTGGGAATAGGAATTTTTCATTCGTTATTATTATTCTTGGTACAAGTTTTGGTTTCGATATCGATATCGAATCTGTGGAGTGTCAAATTTTGATACGCCTTCCCACTTTTGAGATTCACAGTCAACTGACGAAATACTGTGAAGTTTGTGTCGGTCATTTCCTGCTGAAGCCTTGGTTGAGAAGGTTTATCGGTACTTTATCTGGTTTTCAAATCTTTGGATATTGGACCCCAATCACCAGTTAACGGAGCAGTATATCAACGACCCTGGTGTGGTGCCCTGTGGTATACCATATTCTGTTGCTCATCAATGCTAATGGTAATGTTAGTGAATTTCTCCCGGATAGATGCGGTTTCAATTATCAGGCAGCTTTGGTTCGATAAAGCATGCGATATTTCAGATCCATCAACATGTGGAAATATACTATGTAGGATGGAATAACTCATGATAGAAGCTAAGGTAGGTATGCAATTTGTGTAATTCCTACTTGGTAACAGATACAACAAGGGGGGAAGTGAAGGTCGACCGTTGGGACTGGGGAGTACAAAAGGGGTTGTAGGGGGTTGTTTGTCAACGATCGTCATCATCCAGGGTTGTTTACGGATGTTAGTCCTGCCGTTTATGCAATGTAAACTGTCCAGTATGTGTACGGAAGCGTTTGATAGCAAGAGGCAAGAGGCCACAGCCATCACTGGTTTTGAACAGTCGAAAGTTTGTGCAAATCGGATTTCTCAGAAAACATATGTGTTGTTTACCTTTACCCTACTAATGGAAGCTAAAATGCGTGAAACAATGTTGTGTGTGGTTGGTAATGGTCGCAGATATGGAACGCAAACGTGCTTCGTAAACAACCTATATGATGTCAAAAAAAAAAATGGTAACTTTTTGACTAGAAAGCCTCACTCCGCTCTTGTTCTGAGCGCTGTGAACGCCACCCTTAGCGTCATCTATGGAGGAATGACTGAACGACCATGCTACAAGTCACTTCGCCAGTCTGCGTTGTTGGTTGCAGAATGCCGAGTCTGAAAAGTATATCTGCGAGAAGATGTGATAGTAAGAAAATGGTTGAGCAGCAGAGTAGCAGTAGTTTCTATCTGTTGAAAGTTACTAAGGACTTCTCCTTAATCATTTTTTTGATCATGGATCCTGCTAGGAGTTCTTCATAGCCGCACACATTTGATCTTCACAATGCAGTCCTTGATTTTAGATTTCAATAAATACTCCGGCGTAGAACTCTCCGTTCTTTTGATTTCCTGTGTAAAATAGGAGCTTTCCATTTAAACAACAAAAGTTGACTTTTTTCAAAAATGCCTTACCTGCAAAAATACAGAGTCGTTCGTTATCACCCGGTATGTATTTGAACTGCTCTTATTCGGCTGAGGCTATCAAAAAATTCCTTGCCTGTCATGCATTTTCCGGATATTTACCGGATACTTTCCGACATGACATATGTACATTTTCGAGTGAATCAACAAGGCAGCAAATTGATTTTCCATTTTGGAGCGCTACAACGCCGTAGCCTGAAGATATAAGTCACGAAGCTGTGTACCCTGTTTCTATACTAATTCAGTGAACATGCATGGTAGTTCGTAAAGAGTGAATAGCTAGCTTAAACTCATGAAAATAATAACATTTAGCCAAATGTCCTCCGTTAATATACTAAGTGACATATAAATCCGAACACCCAGTTTAAATGGTTTTATTTTAATAAAAGTTGGTGAATGTATTTATCTTACTGTAAATAACAAGTGAAAAAATTTTCAGCCTTATCAGCTGGACATTCCGGTTTTTATACTGCTTTTTTTTAATTGACTAACGCTCTAAAAATGAATATTTCAGCCGCAGTAAAGAATCAACGTTGGCGGATTTCGGTTCTTGACATCCTTTACGATCGGTTACGATGCCTATAGTACGGAGACCTGTACGATTTCGTCAACTTAGTGAGTTTGATAGGGGCCGTATAGTGGGATTTCGGGAAGCTGGACTTTCTTTTCGGGCAATTGCAGTTAGAGTGCAAAGAAGTGTAGACACTGTGGTTAGGTGTTGTCAGGCATGGCTTCGAGAAGGCCGTACGCAAAGAGCAAGGGGCACTGGACGCCGCCGTAGAACAACAGACCGTGAAGATCGCCGCCTAAGATTATTGCCCTTAAGGAACCGTTTCTCCACTACCAGGTCCATTGCAAATGAATGGTTTGCAGAACACGGAAGACCTATTGGCATGCGAAGTGTTTACCGACGAATGAGAAGTTTTGGCTTGTTTTCATACCGGCCACACTGGGTCCTCCCTTTAACTCGAGAACACCGACGTAATCGCCTTGAGTGGTGCAGACAACGGTCACTCTGGGATCAGGAATGGACCAGTATTGTCTTTAGTGACGAGTCTCGATTTTGTTTAGACATGCACGATGGTCGTGCCAGGGTTAGAAGGCGACGTGGTGAAAGGAGGAATCCACAGTTTTTTGTTGAAAGACATGTTCATCACACTGTTGGAGTTATGGTTTGGGGTGCTATAGCTTATGGTTCCAGGTCACCTTTAATCTTCATCAGAGGTAACATGAACGCGCAGCGTTATATCCACGAAGTTCTAGAACCCCATCTTTTACCCTATCTTGACACCGTGGCAGATCCAACTTTCCAACAAGGTAATGCCCGACCACATGTTGCAAGAGTCACAATAGACTTCTTTCAACATAATGATGTCACATTGTTACCATGGCCACCAAGATCTCCCGAATTATCCCCAATTGAGCACGTGTGGGATATGATGGGTAGGAGATTGCTCAATTTGCAACGTCCTCCTCAGACTCTAGAAGCACTTCGAGAGGAGTTGGTGGTTGCCTGGAATGAGATACCACAGGAGGACATTGACCACCTGATCACCACCTGCCTAGGCGCGTTGGAGAATGCGTAGCACATCAGGGTGCATCCACACATTATTAAAGGTCAAAGGGCTTTAAAGCAGTGCAATCATTTTGAAATTTTTATCAGTTACTTATTATGCTTCATTAAGCACTTATACAAAATTTTATTAAAATAAAACCATTTAAACTGGGTGTTCGGATTTATATGTCACTTAGTATATTTCCAAACGGCCAGTGCCAGAGAATAACTCATCTAGACAAACCGCTGATTTCTGATTTCGTTGTATCCTGCAATAGATAATTCCGTAAAACCTTTGTGTTCCCTTTCACCATTTGTTCCGTTTGAGCTCTCCAGACCTCGACAGAGTGGAAATTTTCTGAATAAGCAATCGTCAATCGCAACGTTTTCCGCGTTTTTCCACAATTCTATATCCAGTACAACAAGAGTCGTTATTGTGTTTTTGTAACTTGGATGCTGCAATATAATTAGCGATATTACCACAGTACGGGGCCAGGAGAATCACTCTGGCTAATATTTGTCAGACGAGTGGATTTATACGCTCGAACAGGAGTACAGGTAATAATAATAATAATAATATTTATTCATTCAATGTACAAAGATAACAAACAATATGAGTAAATAAATATAAAATCAAAACAGGCCCAATAGAAGGCATCGCCTGTACATGGACCAATAAATATAAGTTGAAACTGTAGAATGCAAATGACAAAAAAGGACAAAAATTAGCTACAGTAGATTATGTATTTAGTTGATGTTCGTATTTATGAGTTTATGAATTTCAGTCCTAGATATAGAATGTAGCCACTTTTTTAAATTTCTTTTGAAACAATTTCCGAAACGTAAATCTTTTAAGTCTTTAGGTATAATTTCATAAAATTTAGGCGCTAAATAGAGATATGATCGCTGCATTATAGATTTATGCGGTTGAGGAACTACTGTGCCACGAATTTTGTACCTGGTATAATGATTATGTTTAATTTTTTGGTCGGTGTTTACAAATTTATGGTAGTGAGTGATACTGTGTAAGAAATAAAGCTGTCTTATATCATACATTCGAACATCTGCGTATAATTTTTCAGTGGGATAAAGTTTCGGTTTTTTAAATATCATTTTTAGAATACTTTTTTGAAAAACATCTAAATTATAGATATGTGAGGAACATGCAGCTCCCCATGCTAATATACCATATGTGAGATGAGGCTCAATCAGTGCATGGTATAATGTTCGAAGATATTTTTCTGTCAATATATTCCCAAGGTATTTAATTTTGTAGGATACAAATCTAACTTTCTTTAAAATATAATTGACATGGATGTCCCATCGTAAGTGAGGATCCAAGACCACTCCAAGGTATTTTATGTTGGGCACTCTATTAATTTGCATTTTTTGATCATTAATATTGAAGGAGAAATTTGTGTAATTTGGCAGATGTCTAGCATGAGATCCAAATGGTAAAAAATGTGTTTTAGAGTAGTTAATGCTTAATTTTCTACTGTTAAACCACCGAATAATTTTGATAAAATCATTTTCAATTACATTTTTCAGATCAGACCAGTCAGTGCCTTCATATAATATTGCAGTATCATCTGCAAAACTAGTTATTTTGCCAACACAATTAATTTGGAAAATATCATTTAAATATATATTGAATAACAGCGGACCTAAGACAGTTCCTTGTGGGAC